TGCAGCATCGCCAAGTTCTACGCGCCGGCATTCGGCGCCGTCTCGTACACATCGATGTCCATCAATGTCATGAACCCGAGCCTCGTCGTCAAGTAAGCTCCACTTCGTCCAATTCAACAGGACGATGACGGGTCCTCTTCTGTCGTCTCTTATTACGTAACTCTATGCAATTTGCGTGAATATTACGACAGAAGAATGTATCTTAAATTTTAATGAGTCACAGAATGTAAATGATGAATTAAAAGAGAGATTATAAATAGTATTATTTCTTTTCTTTTTCAGAGTATTCCCAAAGAGAGACATTACAAATTTTTTACTGGCTGGCACTCTGATTGGTACTGGATCATACATCTACACACGTGAACATATGAAGGCTGCACCACAGTCTGTAAGAATTCTATACAGGTAAGATTTCATATTGGTAATATATACAGTAAGTCTCACAGAAATGTATACATCATAAATGCTTTTTATTTGATGACACAAGTCGATACATCATTCTATTTTTCTTGACATTCAGTAACAAAGATAGACACTTGTGTCAATTTGTGTTGCTAAATGGAAAGCACATATTGTTGGCAGAAGTGGGATTCGAATTTACACCCTTAGAAAGGGCCAGAAAGCCTCAAACTCAGTATTGAACCGAGAAGGTATGAACCTTGAGTCTGGTGCCTTAGACCGCTCGGCCAATAAGTACTGTTATTATATTCTAATTAATTGCACTATTTAGAATTTCAAAAATTATGACCTTGGACTGGCTGGTGTAGTCTCCCAATACAAATTCATTTGACAAATTTTGAGCATTTATGAAGAGGAAGCTTCAAGAAAAGTGTATATATGTACAAAATTATTAATCACTAAATGCCAAGAAAAAACGATGTTATTTTCTGTCACTAAATGAAAAGCACACAATATTCAATGACGAAATAAGCTGTTGGATTGTATTTTAAAGTGATATACATATTTTTTAAAATTCTCATAAATCTTGTGCAGATGTATATATGCTCTTGTGAGACAAATTGTGTACATCTCTTTTGGAGTAGAATCGAATTATCTCTTATTTTTGTCGCATTTGCTTTTCAGTGCCACTGGCGCGGTATTATTGAGCCTGGGATCGGTCTTACTGTGGGCAGTGATACGTTCCATAGTCCCGCCAAGTCCAGTCTGCTGTACGTTAGCTGGCATCGGCACTGGAGTGGCGTTTTTGAAAGTCGGCTCCAGTTATCTCGAATTTGTGGACGGGCAAATAGCGAAAAAGTAGGCTGTTCCTACATGCTTTATGTTCTTTTCGTTCCCATCTTGGATTTGTATCTCGAATTGTTGCGGAATGAAATTGTACTACGTCGAGCAAGGGACACAGCATCTTTTGTCTGTTACATTTTGAACGCGACTCCCAAATCGACGAGTCTTGTGGAATTTTCGTTTCATGCGACAGGAGATTACGGAGAGCGATTCATTACTTGATCCCCATCGGATTCCTGAAATTTTTTCGAGTGCAAATTATGTGTAAGTAATGTTTTTTCCACCGCGAGTTTTATATACGCGCGTTTTTTTTTTCCCAAAACAAAAAAGACAGAATAGAGATGCAAATGGATACTCGAGTGCTTTCCATTTGGTAGCACAAATCAATACAAATGTCGTTTTGTCTTTGTTACCCACTGAATATAAAAAAAAGATAGAGGAATGATGTCTGTATCGATTTGTATCATTAAATGGAAAGCACCCGTTGTATTGATTCCAAAAATGTGAATTGTCGTATCGCACAAAAATGTGCTATCGGCGATTCTAGCGTTGAAGATGGCATTACCTGGCAGCGAAGTGTTCATAAACAATCGTGCGCTTTTCTCTTCGCTCGTCATTCACGCATCGCCGACACGGTAAACGGCATTTTATAAATTGTTCCTTAAGATATATATTGCACGCACTTCGGGAACTCGAACGAGACCCTCGTAATCTCGGCGTGTTCATGGAGACCGGGAAGTATGAGCATCGTATGTTTATCGACAACGTGTTTTGTAAGCTGCATAAAAATGCAATCATCATATGTAGATAACTGTCACCATAAATATATGAATATACGAATTGTGACACGATAGAAAAAAAAAGAATGAAACATACGAACGATCTCCTCACCTGCCTGAAATCCATCGACGTTTATTTTGTATATTTATAATTTTTATTCTAAACTAAAATAATAGCTATATGTATATATTGCTAATATTTAAAATTTTATACTTCGTATTACACATATGCTATAAAATTCTAACAATAGCAACATGGTCAATGAAACAAAAACACTACCTACATCAACCTTGGGAGTTTAAAATTTATCGCTTCATTGCATAAATGTGCACAGAAAAATAATCTACTGCTAAAAAAAGTAAAAAAATGATTCAATTTACTTTTTTCTTCTAAGTGACACTTATCTTTACAAAGATAATAATCTCAGAACATAATTCATAAAATTAAAAATATACTTATTATTGCAAAATTAAAAACTTATTTATTCAAAACAAAAACTTTTTTCTTTTGAAGAATATTATAAAATATTATCGTAGAAGCGATGTAATGAAATAAGCAAATTTGTTTTAATTGAATAACCATTATTGAAGTATAAATCTTATTAGATTCAGAATATATTTTGATAATTATGATGACCTTATGCTAGATTTGCAGATATATAAAACACTTGTAAAATAAATAATTAATTTTTAAATATAGTATATTTTTCTGTGTGTAGAAAATATTTAAATGACATAATAATGGTTTAAAAAATTAACTCTTAGGCCCAATTTCACGATATATGGTTACCTAAAGATTAAAGGTAACCAAGAAATTCATGAATGAATTTCATTGATGAATCTGTTTGTAATCTTTAATCTTTAGGTAACCATATATTATGAAAACGGGCCGTAGTCGTTCAATAGTTGAAATAACTCGAAGACGTATGCAACAATTGAAAACTTGTTAGAACTAGTTTTCTCGTTATCTCGCTGAAACGCTTCTGTTTCTTTAAAACTATTATCGTTTATTTACGCGTGCTAATGCACCCTCGTACGATTATGGCGAGCATCGAACCAGATAAGAGGGGGTCTCAAAGTAATACAAATAAACGCAGAGCGACTGGCCGCGATACGATACTTTGTACGAAGCGCGAGTTAATCTCACTGTCGTTCGATTCTCAATGCTTGTTGCTCGTAAATAACGCGAGGAAATTCTCATTAAAGTTTAGATTAATTAAACTTATTTATGACGATAGATGAACAACGAAACTGCGTAAGTATCGCTACTGTCAAGATCACGTGAGAAGCTCATGATACGAATCTTGAGATCACTCTTTGATCATGAAAGATTAAATTAAACGCGATTAATTTACGGAGACTTCTCAAATCTTGATGTCTCATTCCGCGTGCAACGCATTGCGTTCGATACGTCCCCTATAACCGCAAAAATACGATAATTTATCTTGTTAAGACGACGCTCCGTATGTCGAGAGTTGCAGACGGAGACGTACGGGAGCATTTTATGGAGGGTCTATATATAGGGTGTTCAAGAAATTTATTCTTTTATTTATACTTTTCACCGGTATACTACCGGTGTACTTTTCACCAATTTTGAATAAATTTTCATATCTTTAAAAACAGAATTTTCAAATAAGAGAAAGAATTCTATTTTCGGTCAGAGCAGATCTTGGTCTTTAATAATTTGTATATGAATATGTTATTAGATAAGCATTAAGATCCGCTTCGACGGAATGTATTTCTCCGTCTTTTTTGTATTTGATTTATTTTTATTAGTCTAATTTCGACTTATAAAAGAAATTGTGATGAGCGTTTTAGTAAACGATCGAAAATAAAGAATGACTTTTTGGGAACTAGGTTGAACAGATAAAGCTGTACTTTTTTTTTTACTTTAGAAAACAGGGATACCCTATGTAACCGCAAACGTTGGTCGATCGCTGCATGGTGCAGTGTGCTTCTTCGCGTGTCTTGTTCGCGGTCGCTATTGTTTCGTCGCACCACAATAATGACACGGCATGCTTTCCAACAATAACCGCTCTCAACGCGAAATCCAGATGACGTTTACGAAAGCGTTTTTGCCTCGTGGAGAAGTGTTTGAAAAGCGTATTTTATATGCGCTTTTCAAGCGATTTATTTTTAGTACAATCACTTTCCAATCGCGAGGATAAACTCTCACTAGTCTTGAAATAATTTCTAGTTTCTCCCTTTTAAATATTCCTTTTTAATATAAAAATAATAAACATTCTATTAATTTTTTTACAAAAATATAAGGAAAGGTAAAATTTAGGAAATCACAGAGCCTAAAGATCTGCTAAAAAAACTTCGCATTTCTCATTAGGCATAAAAAATATGACAGTTGCAAAAAATATCTGTGGTAATTTATTAAAAATTCTTACTATAAATGCGCATAGTCTGTTTGGATTCGTTGAATAATTAGGAAATTGATGGACTGGCTCTCGCCATAACGAAAAGCTCAGCATCCTTTTTTTTTGTATTGCTATTAAGAATTATTTAAACTCTGGAGAACGCCTTCATATCCTATCAATAAATACTTTACATACTAGAGTATCTAGATCTTGAAGGCACTTAAATAATCATGCACTACGGGTTAACTTATTCTCTATTACGTAATCTAAAAAAATAAACTCGGATACGATATATCGGCGCGGGAACGCTTTTTTTTCTGATCGCGACTTTGAGTGACAAATTCTTCAAGATGTTTGTCGCGATAAATCAACAAAAAGATCGGAAATCCGCAAAGTTTTTCCCCCCCCCCCGTCGCACCGTTTCCAGTCAAAGACAATGAAAGACATCGTCTTATCGAACATAGTGAGTTTCCCGTTATTTGCACCATGTCCATCAGAAATATCCATCTACAGGTCCATCTGATCGATGTATAGTCACACATTAAAAAAATCAGGTCAACGCTGATCTTCCTCCTATTTTAATATTTCATTTTCTTTGCTAAATGATAAAAAAATACGAAAAGAGTCCCCTGAGTAAAGGCATTGTTGCCATCTCGAGATCTTCGAGTTTCCCGAGAGATCTTTGTTACGCTGAAATCTCTTGCTGAAGAGAATTCAGTCATGAAGCTTGGAACTTACGGGAACCCAAAGATCGGTCCCCTAACTGCGCTGAGGATGTAATGGACTGGTCTCGTTTATATTATTCCTCTGTACCGTCGTCGACGGCGTCGTCGAGGACGAGAGGGCATTGGTGAGGACCTCGGCAATGCTGTCGGTTACTTTGTCGATCATTCCTGTGACTACGTCGTGATTGTGATCATGATCATGATCATGTTCCTCTTCTATTTCCGTGTGATTGGGCGAATTTCCATGGCAATCGTGCGAGTGTCCATGGCCACCATGCGAATGTCCGTGGCCACTGCTATCATGTGAGTGGGAATGGGCAGCTGTAGACAGAAAGCGTAGATGTTTGAGATTTCACGTAATTTTTAAAGTACGCGAAGGGATCTATAATAAAAAGAACTATCGGTTCATTTTAAAGCACGCGAAGGTATACCTCTCCAATTGCGCAGATGAATTAGAATAATTGAACTATTTGCGTTCACATATGTACCGAATTTTGCAAAATTTTCGTAAGTTAGAAGAGGTAGATTCTTCTATTTCTATTTCTCTTTTTCTGTTCTACGTTTGTTATTAATTACATTATTAGAAGAAGGAACAATTAAATTTTAAAATCTCGATTTTTTATAAGTTATTTAACTTTGTTGTTTTTGATTCTGTCAATACATTTTAGAAATACATTTCTGGAAATACATTTTGTGAATTTATTTTAATTCATTTTGATACGTTTTTATGAGATGATTTAGTAACAGTAAGAGATTAGTTTTTATCAGCTTAAGAGAAGGATAGTTTGTCGTAAAGTCATAGTAATGTTTAACGTTATTAGGTTTAAGATTTTATTAATTATTGGAGCTAATAACATGCTAATAACAAAATGAATTATAAAATTTCCTTTGAAATGTTATATTTCGCGACAAAGTTATATCATAACTTGAGCGTGTGTATGTTGCGCGTCTGATCATGCACCATCCGTTTCCACTGTCATCGCTCATCGAGCCCTCCGTAATTAATTTCTGCGTATGTGTGTATATATACATACGAAATTCTCCAAACGGCACTCAAACACTTGACGGCAATTTTGTCATCGAAATACGTCAAACGGTTGAGAAAGCCGTCGAAAGTCGGTCGGATCGTCCATCGACCTACCCGTCCTGGGTCATTGCCATGGGTGGAGAGAAAGCCTTGGGACTATAACCAGATCCCTTATGAGATCAAGATTCGTCTGTCTGTTGTCAGCATGACAGTGTTCATACGTCATTTCAGCACTACACGTGAAACCCGTGTGTGCCTTGGAAGAAGTGGGTTGTTTCCGTAAGCAATTTGCCAATCATGTGGCAGCCGACGCGACTTGTGTAAAAGTTCATGTTTCACACAGACGCGAGTAAGAGTAACGAGCTCGTATTTTATGTAGGATAAATGTTCCAATAAACCATTTAATGAATAGAAAGCATATAATCTAATTTCTTCGTATTATAATATTTTGCTTCTTACACGTATAACATTATAAAATATCCGAATTAATAAATACTTCATATGCGCGCTATTTTATCATATTTTAATAGAAATTATACTATATTAATATTTCTAAAACTCGTATTAGATTGAAATTGAAACTGAATTTGACCATAGCAAAGTTTACTAAACTTGAGATTGGTTTTCTTCTGATTGGTTAATTTCAATCTCAACCTCAATATCTAGTCTAACACGGGTTTTAGACTTTTTCATTTATGCACTTTTACGATATTGTTTCACAAGATTAAGATTTGTTAATGCATCTAGTTTCTTGCGTCATTCAGCTTTAGAATTGAAGCGGAACATTACACCTACGATATCTCTCGATTTCGCGAACCTTTCGTACTCTTGCGAGAAGGTCAAGATGCAATTAAGATTGCGTAACAGATAAATATATCTGCAGAGATATTACGCTCCATCTCTCCCACCTGTTGTTACTTTCTCGACGAAATGACACTCAATTTCTTTAATGTCATTGGATACAAAGTAATAATGTATACGGCATGCGTGCAAATAACCGATCACGTCAGTGACATTATAATTAAGTCTCGACTTCGTCGGAAATGTTAAGAATTAATGGAATGTGCTACTGAGCGAGAACGTTCCTATAAGATCTTTGCTTCTTCTACTTTAGATTGCTCTGACTCTGACTATTCAGTTATAAATGTTGTTTACTTGCTTATTATCTAATGTTTAAAAATATTAGGTGCTAAATAAACATCTAATACAACATTTACAACTAAATAGTCAAGAGTCAGAGCAATCTGAAGTAGAAGAAGCAAGTCTCTCGTCATAGAAATTCTCACTTAGTAATTCATTTTATTAATTACAAACATTTTCGACGGAGTCGAGATTTAATTTTTAAAAGTGGAGGCGAATACTCCTGATTATGAAAAAAAAGAATGAAATAATTTTAAAGTGAATTTGAATTAGAAACATTTCACGATTAGCACGAATTACTTTTTGCTTCTGCTGGCATTATGAATCCGCCAATTTTATCAGTCACTAACCGTATTCTACTGGAATCATGCTAAAGTGGCATAAACTATCAGAAGTAAACAGCTGTTATCGGCTGGTATTCTGTCTCAACAAATAATTTAATTCTACACGCTCTTATACACTCTTATATATGTACATATACACATATCTGCCTGATTCGTATATCAATTTTTTTTTTAACAAACGTCTAAAACGTCTAGATAAGATCTATTTTCGCGGCAAGTTCTGAACAAACGAGCATGCACGCCACGAGAATTTCTATGACGAGGGACCCTACTTCTCTTACTCCAATTTGCCCTGACCCTGACTTTTCAGCTGGTAGCTCGTCGGTTTAAGACAAATCGATAGATTAGATAAGTACCGAAGAACTAACACGTGAAGTGTATCAAGGGCGTACCTGTAATAGGTTTGCACCGAGACGTGCGATTCTGAAAATTTTAATTACAAGGGTATCGAATATCCCTGCTTGGATGGACTTGATGGAACAATCACGACGAGTGATTCTAAAAATTTTAATCGCAACCCATACAGCACAGAAGCTTGCAGTAACATTACTGTAATGTTTGCAATGTTACTGTAATATTGCTGGAACGTTGCACTGTTGCTGCAAACTACTGTGCTGTATATAGAGACTGAATGTCCCCATTATATATGGTTACCTAAAGATAACAGTGACCAAAAGATTCATCAATGATATTCATTTATAAATACGTTTGGTAATTTTTAATCTTTAGAGAACGATAATGATACGGACTATATTGAAAATGGATTAAGTAATTAGAGTTTTTGCAATAAATACGGTGAACGCTAAAGTCACGTTATCCTTTTCTTAATTAATTGTTAAGAAGAAAATAACCTGATTTTAGCAATCACCGCATCTGGATAAACGGTATTACAAAAACTCCCTATATTGTCAAATTGAATTTAACGGTCATTTTACATGGGAAGAATACTAAAATATACTCTAGAGCTGTACATGGAAAGAATATTAAATATCTACGATTGAGAAGCCGCGATGAGCGATTTACTTTATCGACATGTTCATCTAGTAAAGATTATAGATTTTGAATCGATAATTCGCGTATGAGATATTATATACTAGTCTGAAGACAACCAGGAAAAATGTCTGAATTAGTCAAGATAAAACTGGTTTCTGTGAATAATAATGCGCTCGTACGCAAATTCGCGTCGAGGAAGTTGAAGAAGAGATGGCTTCCGGTGAATCCTAATGGAGCCGGGATGAACTTTCACCATACGATAATAAATTTGTGCGCGATTTCCCGTTTTGACACGCGGAAATTTACTGGTCACGCGAAAAGTAGAAGGGAAACGGAAACGCGCAGTAAGCGCCGCTACGAAGGACATCGTTAGACTGACGATAATACATTTATCCGGCATCAGCAGTGTATTGCGTCGCGATACGCTCCGGTGCATTTTGGAGACGCGGGGGATTCCCTCGTCTTCCGGGAAACGAACTCACTGGCGATCTGTAGACCCAGCATCAGCGTGAAGCCAACAATGATTGCGACTAGCTGCAACAAGCCGCTCTTCTCGTTTGCCCTCTCCCGCGCTAGCACCTCGAAGAATACCACGTAAAGTAGGGTACCAGCCGCCATGCCCTGGAGTATGGTGGGTGTGGGTCCCAAATTCTCGCTGTCGTTCTTGAAATGAGCGAGGACGAGTCCCACGGCGATCCCGATCGGCGTAACCATGGCAAAGATTAACAGGTAGCCGAGGGTGGTCTTGGTCGACGCGCCGGCCACGTAGAGCTCCATTCCGACGCAGAAGGCGATCACCAGTTTGTGGGTTGCGATAGCGGCTGCCAGATATGCGACCGAACTGATAGATGGTTCCAGACCCACCGCTAAACCTTCGAATATCGCGTGAAAGGATAACGCGAGCACAGTCAGTAGTCCTTGTATCGAGGTATTTTGCATCGCGCCGTGCTGATGATGATGGTCATGGGAATGATGATGATTGATCGAGTAGTTTAGTTCCGGAATTGCCAATTCTAGGTCAGAATGCCTCCGAACAACCTTATGTTCTTCGTTCGATAACGCGACGGGCAGGACGAATATAGGCGGCAGCGCTTTGTCGTCCTTGCCTGCTTGATCGCGAGAATCATCGAGCTGGAGTTTCAGCCGGTTTGCCGGATCTTTGCTGTCCTCGGCATCATTGGTGTTTTTCCACGCGGTAGACTTGGTCGTCGTGGACACGGTGGTGATCGAGCCATTCGATATCACCGACGAACTTGATGGACCTGTCTGATTGTTGTTGCATCTGCGCACCGACACTGTTCGGTAAAGTAATGCTTCCGAAGATTCGGGTTTGCCGGTAAGGGCGGCATGCACGGCTTCCTCGACCAGATAAACGAGGAAGAAACCACCGCAGAAAAGCAGCTCAGCCAGACCGAGGGAACCCAAATCGGGCAGTTGTTTATTCGACTGATGTGTCTCTACGCTAGCACGAACTTCCGGTGCCAGATGTATGAACGTCGTAAACAGGAGCACGCCGCCGCCGAAGCAGAGCAAGAGCGATGTCAAGAGACCCTGAAGACGATGCCGCGGTGCTTTGGAATCCGTTTTAGAATTTATATTCGCATTAAGTAGGGTGCTCGGATTATTAATTTCTATGAACTCTTTGACTATTTTGGAATCAACTTTTTATGTAATATAAATTATGTGATATTCTCACAAGAAGTTGTAATGGTTTGTTTAAAATTTACTTATCTTTACTGTTATAACTAGATGCATATATACGGTGTTTGCAAAAAAAGAATCAAGATTAATTCCAAATTGATTCCAAATAGTCCAGAGTCTATAAATGCCGATTGTAAAATACCGAGCATCCTAAGAGCAGCTACTCCGGATTACGATTAATATTGATCGATCGACTACCATTAAATGAGTTAGATCAATTATTATTAAACATTTTTTGTAAACACGACTTCCCTATTTCTGACATAATCAAATATTATTCGTCTCGACTTTGTGCCATTCCAGACATAGTTACGATTACTCGTACATAAACACATTATACAGTATTTGAAATCAGAACGAACCATACACTTAATGAAGATAAAATGGAACATAATCGATATTCGTGAATTAAAAATCACTGAATTAAAAAACGATCTATATACAACGCAGGTAGAATTAATAGATCCAAGGATATCCACCAATATCAAGAATATTCCACTGGATATCCTTGATTATATTCATTATTTTTCCCCGAATGTGACCTCGTAATATCCGCAGCGAGTCGATTTGATTATAACTGGCACAAAGACGAGCTTTCCGGAGATGCTGCGAGTGGATCAGGTGTCAGTGACTAGGATTTCTGATCGTTTTTCGGACGTACTTGCTTATTCGCCGCGGAGGCCGAATCAACGTGCGGCGAGGAAGCATCGGATGTTGAAGTGGACGTGGAAGTGCTAGAATTGGAAGACATCGCCTGGCGACGTTTCTGGTGACGTTTCTGACGAAGTTGCTTCCTGGCTCTGTAACGTCCCACCACCAATGGCAGCGTTCCCAGTGCGAGGGAACCAAACCCAAGACCGACCATCGCGCCGATCTTTGACATCAAAAGGATATTGGACGGATCTTGTCCGGACGTCGTGTCTTCCATTTCGTAAGTCGTTGAATTAATTTCGATAACAATATGATGAGGAAAGAAACTTCGATGTTTATTTTTTCTCTTCTTTTTTGAGAAGATTTTACAACGCCGGTAAGATCGATCACCGAAGCGGTCACGTCAAGCACACGCGAGTAAACTATCGGGAGTGAAATCCGCGCAAGACACCGACGTCGCGGTAGAATTTACCTCGTCACCACTTCACTACTTCTCTCAATCGCGCGTTCCTGTCGACGACGGGATTCATCTCAATCCTGTACTTTTTATCGAGGACGTCCCGTTCTCCAATTCACGAAGACTCTCTCGCGGTGGATAATCGAGACGTTCGCGGTGACTTATCCGGAACAATACTTCGGACTGAACCTGATCGGGTTCTCCGCTGAACAGTCGTATCCTACGATCTTGGACGAGGCGAACAGATTACAAACGGCGTAAAGCTCCACGCGCCGCGACGGCCGATCGGACACTACTCCGGTCTCGATGGAAACTCGGCTCGATCGGACCCCTCGGCCGCCGCCTCGTCGTCTTACATAGTCCGAACCGAACCGTTTCCTGCCCACTCCCGCGACCGCTACGCTCGTCCTTGTCCAACGATCGTTCGCTAGCGTGCATACTCTTTCTGGCACCTGCACCACGACTGATCGTCTCTCATTCAGTGGCGTAAAGACCGACGGTCCCGTGGAGTTGCTCTCTTTTTTCTCATCGAAATGCATGCGAGGTCGATGGGGGAAAAAAGAGAATGGGAATATATACGAACGGAAGTAAAACGAAGAGGAAGAAAAAAATGAAAAAAAGGGAAAAGAAGGTCAGGAGAGAAGGTGAAAATGGAGAAAAAAAAATAGGAAAGGAAGGATTTAAGCGAAAAAAAAAGAAAAATAAAGGTGATAAGAAAAGGGAAGGGAGAAAAGGTAAAAGATGCTGAATTCCCACTTTGTCTTTACGGCATAATTATTGGGCGTGCTCAACATCTGTTACATCGTTGTAGCTGTGTCCGACGAAGAGCAACGCACAATGTATTTTCCCTTCTTCGCGGGCGGTAGACGCGTTCGTGCGTGGGCGCGTGTACAGTGTGTACACACGTGCACGCGTGAATGAGAGAAATTCGTTAACGACACTCGGAGACGCTCGTGCAGGAGCACGCGTGCAGACACAGCCTATTCCACGTTCGCGCCCACAGCGTCATAAATAACATTCGCATCGTGAATTAGACCGCAAAATAAATGAATTTGTCCTTGAGTGGTACTGGTATAAGAGAGAGAAGATTAAATAATGGAATGTGTGCGTGGAGAGGAAAAAGAAGATCCTTAAAAAGTCAACCCTCTAGATTTCTCACAGAGAGGATTTGAGGTACAATTTTGTAGAAACTAATAATTTCTCTTAACCGAGAGAGATTTATTTCTATAGCGTTGTGATATGGATGAGAAAATGTAAAAGTAAAGGCGGCACCGTACTCGTCACTTTCAAAACATGAATTTAACGATGTGGACCATCGAGACGATCACGTGATTATTTACTGGCTCTATGATACTTTCACCCTTTTCGCGCGAAAAGCGAAAGGATAACACCACCGTGTTTGGACGCTTCATTGAACGTCGTCGAAATCATGAAGTTCAAGCAGCCGTAAAATATTTCGTCTAATGTAATAAAATCGAGATCGACGATAAAGATGGTAACGTCCTTCATCGTTATTTATATTGATAACAAAATATCGCAATTTATAATCGCGCCGTTTATTTTCTTATGCGATAGTTTAGATTTTTCTTCTATCTTTTCATGATTATTGAGTTATAAGTCATACACTGTTAAATCTACAGTGTCAAATTTAATCCAATGTGAGTCCCCACTGCTCCTACTATAAATAAATCATTACTTTATACTAAAGCGATAATTAAATTTGACACTATACTGGGTGAGTTTTTTAACCAGAGACTGCAAAATATCTGGAAAAATAAGCATTGTACGAAAAAATGTTTGCAGACAAAATTGACGTGTTTTTGGACGTAGAATCCGAATTTTCAATAAAAAGTAGGGGTTCCCATTTAAGATTTCAAAGTTACTCCCAGCCTTATCCTCCCGGGGGGAGGAGGCAGCTAACTTTTGCGGGAATTACTCCCTCAATATTGAGGGTTTATTTGGAACATTTTTTCGTACAATGCTTATTTTTCCAGAAATTTGCAGTCTCTGGTTAAAAAACTCACCCAGTATAGCGTCAAATTGACACTGTATAATATCAAATAAAATCATTGTTTTAGTATAAAATAACAATATAATTGAGTAGAAGCAATGGCGACTTACATTAGGTTAAATTTGACACTATATATAGATTTAACAGTATATGAAGCGTGAGAAATAACACGCGAGCAAAGAAATAATTTGCATGACTCAATAGATAAGTAAACGTTGCAAATGGAAAACTTTGTCGTGTCGAATATTTTTCTGGTTATCGACAAACGGCACGTGGAAAAAATATTCACAAACGAATAAAATCAAACATTACGGGAATTGTGCCGCGTGAATCATCAGGCAGGATGTCCTTTGCATTTTGTGCCACATTCTCTTTCTCCCTCCACATCCCGTTCTCTCTCTGCTGTCACCTCTTGTATGTACAGTTTGTACAATTTACAGTGCACGTCATTTCGAATATTAGCTTCGACAAAATCTTCTCTCTTTTAAAACTGCAAACGCGTGTGCATACATACTTATACACTGATAAGTTGGCTGTTGACCAACGACAATAATTACTCGTTAAGAATCGATAAGTGTCGGCTGTGTCGATGATCTTCGACCTCGGGGGTATATGCTTGAAGCATTCTCCTAGTTCGGTGTACTTTAAATTTTTATTTACAGAATATTTCTTCGTTTTCTCTGTTGTTTACATGTTTTTATCTAATTAAAGCACATTTTTTAATTCTTAAGATTTATGTAGATATTGTTTGAAGAGAAGATATTATATATTAATAAAGAAATATTCATATTTATTGAAAATTGTTTCAACTAGGGATTCGAAAACTAAACTGATTGTTAATGACGTAACTAATTTTTCTTCAAACCTATCAACTACTTAGAAAAATTGAAGCACAACAATGATAAACAGAATGATATTGAATGAGAATAGTCTATAAAAATAATACATGATAAAGCACTAATTTAATGCTTTATCATGTATCATTTTTGTAAACTATTTTCATTCTATGATGAGTGCTTTCCAATTAATGATACAAGTTGATATGAGCATCGTTGTATCTTTCTTTACATTTAATAAGTAATAAAGATAGAACAATACTTGCCGACACTTGTCGACTTGTGTTACCAAATGTAAAGCATCTATTATTCTGTTTATTGCTGTCCTTCGATTTTTCGAAACGTTGATACGTTTGAAGAAAAATTGCGCACTTTTAGTTGCAATATAGATAAGTCGATAAATAAGTGAGAGACTCATCGACACAATATTCTTATCCATTAAAATTCCCAGTTCTTACATTTATTAGAACGCGTTTAACAGAGTGTAGAAATCGGGTGTTTACTTATAGCGCTAAGTACTCCAATTCCTATGCGCTTGCTATCAACGAGGGTTGCGAAAACATCGCTGTGCGTTAGCACAAAATAAAATCGTTTGTACTTACTCAACATCTGCAAGCAGAACATCACGAGGAAACCGAAGAGGATCGAGAAGTATTGTCCGAGTCCGGTGCGATGTTCTTGCAGGATCTCGAAGAATACCACGAACAACAGAGTTCCCGATGCTAATCCCTGAGATAAAGAAAAAAAAGCGAGATAAGAGTATTTTTTTCTGCGCACATACTGCGTGTTTGCTGCTCGACCAGTCCACAGATTACGCGGAATCCCGATTCTTGAAGAGTTTCTTCGACACGCGTATTACCGTCACCGATTATCTCATCGAAATTTTTTATTTCGTGAAACCGGTATCTCCCCTAAAAGAGATGGAGAAACTTGCCTGCAGTATCACTGCCATTGGTCCACTCGCGGCCGCGCTTGCGCCGCCAACGAGAGCCATCCCGATGCCAATCCCCAGCGGCGACACCACGGCGAATGCACATGTGTAAATCACGGACAGGTACGGCCTGGTTCTGGACGCGATCAGTTCTACTCCGATGCAGAAGGCAATGACGAATTTATGGGACGCCACCGCGAGGAACATGTACCTACGGACGGATCGTATCGTTTGTCACACCGCTATCTTTCGTTTTGCGAGAACGGTTTAACCTGGCGATATATTAAATATGTAGCGCGATTACTAAGATGAGATTTATTAATCATCAACTAATCTATAATGTTATTAATCTAAGCTTAATAGGATGATATTTTGAGAAAATTTAATTAAATTTGATTCTTGAATCTAAATTGTACTAATAAAATCTCAGGAAAACGGAAGTCGTAATAATATCATAAGGACATCAACATGATCTTATTTGTCATTTATAAGTTAATTTTTAAGTATCAAATAACGCGATGATGATGTCATATAGTATACGCAAAAAAATTATTTTGTTGCTCCAGCTAGAATTAGATTATTACTATTTTTTATATCCGATAAAAAATTATGTATCATACATATCAATACATATCCAATATCGCAGTACTTGCTAGAAAGTTATCTATCTTAGCTAATTTTTTGTACTTAGATTATTTTCGCTATAACTGCAAGATCATTTTTTTGAGTGTATTATTAGAATTTAATTATGACTTGTGTTCTACCTGAGATTAATCCAAAATTATATTGAAACTTTCTTTCATTCACAATCGCAGACACAGAGCCGTTGTGATAATAATACTATATTTATAGTACGTGGGGTTTGACAATCCGTCGTTGTAACGATTAATTTAAAGCACGAGCGCAGTTCGAATTAGGGTTTGAATTAAGACGCATTCGCGATATAATTACCAGACATGATTGGCGGAGCTCTCTAAACCAATCGCCAATCCCTCGAATAACTCGTGCACGGATAAGCCAAGTACTATTAATAACCCTCGCAGCGAAGTTATCACGAAGTCATCATCCGAAGTCATTATCGCTGGTATATGGCTGTGGCCCCTATAAATTAAGAAGAGATAAAGTTTTTTCATGGTTTCTTCGTGCCGTCGAAGTATCATCGGCATGACGATGATATAAAAAGATTGATAAAGTCGAGTGTAAACAGGCTTACGTGTGTGCGTGACCGTTACTAGCGCACTGCTGTATTTGACCGTTTTCCACCAATTCGTTCGTGCTAAGATTCACGTCCTTCTTGTTGGAATCCCGCGTCGTCATTTGTCGCTTCCTGAGATACGTATGCACAGACTCTTCCACCAGGTACATGATGAAGAAGCTACGAAAGAAATCCGAGGTAATTAATTCCTTAATTCCGAAGCGCGCTATTTCAGCGATACTTTCAATTCGATATCATCAAAGAATATAATAAAATTAATATATGTTATTATAATTGCATTGATTTAAAAAAAGAGTTAAATACGAAAAAGTTTATCTTTATAAAATCAAACAGTTATTTTTATAAAATCGTGATTCTATGATCAGATCAATAATTTTAAACGAGTAACAAATAATTCTTTGCCTCTTATTGATCTATAAGGTATCTCACTCGTTCATGAAGAGATATTCCATCTCTGAGAAGGTGATTTTTATTTTGCATCTACACGTAATGACGTCAAAGGATTGACTCACCCGGTGCATGCAAGCATGTCTGCCAGTGAAAAGCTGAGCTGCGGCAGCTCGTCAGACTCAATAAGATTCTGTACGCCTTCCGCGACTTCTGGTATCAAGTGAAGGAACGTCGTGCTGAAGAGAACGCCTCCGCCGAAGCCAAGTAGAATACTCACCGTCTTCATCGATCTACATGTGATAAAGCGGTATTTAATGATTTAACTCATTCAGCCGTATCACATCATCGGTCTTAAAACGATATCGGCGAGACGCAATATATGCCTGTACTTATGTCATTTGAGGATTACGTTGTCGTAGTCTCTCGAGTATTACAGTGATCGTTATACGTTTTGAATTATTGTTCCTAATCGATTCTCCTTTCTTTCCACGTACCTTGTCGCGTGTGCGTATGGATACTCGCGAATAAAAATGTAAATATTTACTTTTGAATTTATCTCAATAAAGACTTTTTACAGATAGTAGACTTAAATTATTGTCAAAGGTTATTGTTGTGTAATCCATGAAATGGTAACGATTGTGACAGAGAAAGTTGCGTGGCTGATCTCTGTGCCAAAGATCCGGGTTTAAATGCAGGACATACATCAGATTTTATTGAATCTTTTGAAAAACAATGATAAACCACTGAGAGTCTCTATGTCACAACCTTTTCTGATTAGTTAACAACTAATAGCGTTAACAACAGTAAGTTTCATATATCAGTAGATATATGCAGAAGAAATGGGGCGCCGAGTGGCTCGTCGCTCAGTGCGATTGACTCGTGATTTGTGGATCCGGGTTCGATCCCATCTGCGCCTCATATACGCGATTTTTCGCGTTTGCCGTTCGGATTCGGCGTTGAACCAAGTTGTAGGTCCTTTCGAGTGAGATAAACACTCTAATAAGGAGTAAGAATGCTCTTGAGAATTATTATGATAAAAAAATATTCTTGACTCGAGTGTGATAAACACTCTAATAAGGAGTAAGAATGCTCTTGAGAATTATTATGATAAAAAAATATTCTTGTCATAATTTGTATGTTTATATTAAAGTCACGCGTTGTTGCTTAAGATGATATCTTTACCTGGGGTTTTGACCGCTCATGTCCCACTTTAACCACTTAGCCAGAAACATCGGTAGGATGCCCATGATCGTGCTGACAATGCATAAAACTACCATGGTAACGGCTTTAGCAATTAATACGTCCTTTTCCGTATCCTCCGAGGAATGTTCCTCTTCGTCGTCAAAAGACGACGTATTCAGTCTCACCATCGAGAGCAAGGCATCTGTTAGTGACATGATGCAATCTTTTGCCACTGCAAACGAAATGATATTTATAATCAGTCTTACAAACCGAAAACGTGAAAACAATTTTTTACCTATTATTTTATAACGAATTTGGTTGGACACATTTTTTTTGTAGTGCATATTAAAGTTATACATAATGTACAGATATTTAATCCGTATAAAAATAAAATACAAATATTTTGAATCATAAAATACAGATTTGACTTAACAGCACAATAAAATCTATTAAAGATTTCATGGTTTTTATGTTTATTATATTAAGTACACATTTTTAATTTATGTACGGCTTTAATGTACACCAGTACGCATTGAGTGCATTCAATCAAATTTGCTATTAAAGATACCTGACTGCAAATTAATAAAACATAGTAGATTGTCTAACAAATGATAATTAATCGACCGTTCAATATTTTCGTTCTATTGTGCGTATTGCGTTTTTTGGTCTTAATAAAAATGCAATTCTCTTTAGAATTTGTTACGAAAATACGTGCCTAATCTGTTTATGACCCATCTTCGTCTGCATATTACTCGCAGGTATTTGTTACAGTCAGCAGTTAAACGTCGACTCACGCATTTTTGATGTTTTATCTCTTTTTACGACTTCATTACTGCACAGAAATTCTATTCAATATATTAACTTTACTAAGGAAACATTATCTTTTCACGTAGGACTTAATTTCCGCATATCCAAGCTTTTTCTATAGTTCTTCGTTGTTACATACATTTATTTTAAAAGAAATTGATCTCTATTCTTCTCTTTCTCATTTCCTCTTTCTTCAACTATTTTATTATTATATTTATCTTATTCAAAGCGATCTCATAATCTCTTGTGAATCAAGTTTTTCCGACAATATTGATAGTAAATTCACTCTTGATTTTATCAAATAATTATCTATCACTCTCGATAAATGTTTGCGATAAATGTTCTTTAATGAAAATAAAAATAATTTCTGTCTGTATTATGGCCGGGAGGCATATCCTAAGTTTGTCAATTAAAGATTTAGAGGGAATCATGTCGAATTAAAAGTACTATAACAATTGTAATTTTTGGACATAGTATTTTGCAAGAATTTTTCGTCCGAGAATCGTACGTTTAAATTAATAATAAATCGTTTTATTATTTTCTTTAAAAAAAGCTCTGTATATTAACTTATTGAACTCCATGGCAAGATTAGCAAAAAAAAAACATTTGTAAAGAATTGGAGCATGAAAAACATGTGATATAAAAAGGATTATAAAAATAAATTAGGTTTATAACTAATTGTTATAAACGAATTATTAAATATTGACTATAAACGGAAATTGATTTTACGAAAGAATTACAAAAGAAATTCCTATAACTTGTTTTAAATCGTTCTCCTTTATGCAAGTAATAAATATTACAAATTATTAAAACTTGTTCCTGCTTATGATTAGAGAGTAGTAAAGTTAACAAAAGAATAATTACAAAGATTATAACTACAGAACAATTGCAGAATTGTTATTTAATGTACTTTCTATTATATGTTGAAAATGTTTTTCATGCTCGGATTCTATTTCCAATTGTTGTTCTTTTGTTAACCTTGCTGGTCTAGTCATCGGTCTTAATGGGTTAACTCAAGTATAATTAAACTCTCATGGTTTCACTTTTAGAGAGATAAACGCAAAAGAACTTTTCAGGAAAATTATTTTTAATTCTCACATTACTTTTCCTTATCTTTGATACATATCTCATATCGTAAAAGAAAGCAATGAATGTTATCTCGTTAATACATATACTCTCTTGATAATACATATATGATAGATAATCTTATTTTGTTGCGCTAATTAGAAATTTAAATAGCTTTACTATTTCCGCGTAACTTGTCTAAAACGAATTATAATTTTTTTTTAACTCAATGCAAATATATTCAAAATGCTAAAAATTTGTTTGATTTCAAAATGTGCATCTTAATTTTTAAAATCAGGTTGCATCAACAACGTACAATTGGAGTAAGAAAGCAATGCAATTCAATATCGAAAAACTCAATCAACGAGCGGCTCGATTTCATGAAACTTTGGTAATAAAATTGCCAGATTATAGTCTCTGAAACATTAAACTACAACATTAAATCTTGCGCCGAAGTTACTGTATTATTATATTATATTTTATTGTTAAATAAAATATATTGCAATATATTATGAAAGACTAATTTAATTAAAATATAGGTTGTAATTAACTTCTCGAAGTGAATTATTTTGAGAAGTTGACAATAAGTAATATATATAGTATACTTTATATTACTCTCTCTCTCTCTTCAGATTTATCAGTTATCACACAAAGATAATTTTTTTCTAAATCACAAATATGATTGTATTATTATTTTTTAAGATATATTGTAATTGTGACAGAAAATTACACCGCAAAAATGTGTTACTGGCAACAAAAAATTATACAGCTGATTACAAATAGATTATACAGCTGATTACAAATAGATCATACATCAAATAAATCAATGACTGCTTCGTCATTATCTTTTTTTAAAAACTCTTTTGTGAACTTTTTCCCTTATGATAGCACATTAATTTGTCCTTTTCCAAGTACGGCGTTCAGTAAGCGACACACGTTTGTTACACCATATATAATCACGAAAGTTGACGCATTACTACGCCTGTCTTTTCCACCAGTCATACATACAGTGTGCCATTCGGTTGTATCGTCTCCCGATCTCTTTACTATCGTCACGTCGACGCGCGATAAGACACCCGCGAATGGAAACTCGAAACGGGCCCACCAACGGAGCAACAGGCATTGATATGTATATAAGGATTTCTACGTAGCTACATACGTATAATACATACACACTTCGATGCATGTGCACGATTGTGGGATACCTACGTTTCTGTGTAAAGAAAAAAAAAACGATAATAATCGTCCGTGGTTGAAAGATGAGGAAAAATCGCGAACGCAGAGAAAAAAGTGATTGCAATTACTATAATTTAATTATGATTTGTAGTCATTTTTGGAACAACTATATATTTACATGGTTGTTTTATATCTACGCAAATATACAATAGTTAATTGTGCTGTTAATAATAGTCACACACACACTGCTTGAAAATCTTTTTCTTAACATATATTTTAATTATCGTTACCACGTAAATAAAAAGTGAATTTAAGAAAATAGTTATATTTACTATAATTGCGAGTGCGATTTATTGAATAAGAATATTTATTTTATTTACCACATTGATATCTTTATATAGTTTTAATATACTAATATTTTAAATTATCACAATTTATAGTACAATTTTTTCATAAAGAGGAAGCTCCTAATCATGATTATTTTACCATCTATTGTAATTATAGTCACAATTGCGAAATACTTTTTTCTCAGTGAAGGACGGCGCCTTACCCTGTGACGATCGGATGACGATATATAGTATTATAGCTGAAAAGGAAAAGAAAGGAAAGAGAAAAATTCATAGCTTCTACACATAGATAGACTGCGCTTTCATGAGAGATTGCGTGACAAGACTGAAGGATAGGCTATATTCTATTATCTTTATTCTTCCAATGTCCACATGCTATTCTCGTCATGCAGACAAAAGAGAAGATTTAAGAGCAAAACTAAAGATCAGCTGCTTTTACATATGCTTTTATAAAAGCGTTCAATCTACAGTATAAGTTTATAGAAAAATTGATGCAGATATATGTTTTCTTTATTTTAATTCATTGGTTCGTAATTTCGAAACCGTTATCTTAATCTGTCCGATCGTTTTGGTTTTCATACATTCCTTTACGAGTAGCAAATCGACCGGCGCGGTGTTCACGCGATGATGCCGATCTATCGATCGACGTATCGACGGTGTATCTTTTTTTCAAAGAGAGGCGAAAGGAAATCGTTGCGAAAAGCTCTTTCGGGACGTGGGAATCGGCGATCATACTGCGCCGATCTTTCTCGCTCGTGTCGATTTAGTGGCGCGATTTAACGGTGATCGTTAGTCGACTCGACTCATGCAATCGACGCGAACAACGCGAGAAGTAACGGCCTTTGAAATGTGCGGCAGTGCTAGGCACTGAGGTATCGAATGCAGTGAAAGTGCAGTGCGGCGTGACCCTCTGGTAGATAAAAAAAGTCAAAAGTTACCGGGGGGAGAGAAATTTCTGTGTCGTTCAAGGTAAACGTTCGAGGAGATCGATTGCGAGCAACCGATCGCTTATCCTGAAAAAACAATAAGGAATTCGTCTCAAGTTGTTCTTTTATTATCTATATCTATTATTATAATGTGAATTTTTAAATTAAGTCGGACATTGAAAACACCGGAAAAAAATTCTCGTCAAAGATTCAATTCGTGGGAACGAAATTATCGCGAAAAACAATTTTCTCTCTCACACTGTTTGCTCATTATGAAATTAAAAAGCTTCTTAATTATTCTTTATCTATGAGTATAATACGACGTTTCCACACCTCGGGGAGATTCGTCAGGTGTTTTTTTTCCCTGTCTTTCCTTCCGCTCTTTCTGCGATTGCCTGTTAATCCATATTTAAACAGCTGATACCATCATGATATCGATGATATGTACGATTACGCATTGCGCAAGAGCCTCTTGCATGTAAATACATATGTCGGTCAATTATGCGTCATAACATCCATATATATAACGCGGTTATATGTACTTCCGATCAATGTCTTATTCCGATATTGATATCCGAATCGCGAATTCGCATCTCTCGCTGTACTTTATTTATCATAGATACCACTCAAAATAGAAGATAATGGATCGATAAATTTATTTATCTGATGTTCGGAAGATTTCATTACTAAAATTATTTTTACTATTAATTACGTGTTGAATAATATCATCAACTTTATTAATATTAATATACTTCGAATCGTAATAGCCACATTAGCCACTAATTAAGTTATTAATTATCTTCAGACAACCTTGGTGCAAACATAATTTCCAAATTCTCTTACGATTAAGTTATAATTGTTTGAAATACCGTGTATATATATATATATATATGAAAAGCTGGCAAAAAAACGTGACAACTTTTAAATGCTGACGCGGCGACCCAGCCTATTATACGATATCAAATGCAATGAGAAGGCGTTGCACGTATCTTTGCATTAACATTTCTCCGGCCGGATGTTCCCGTAAACACGGGGAATTCCACTCGTACGAGGAAAAGTGGGAAAACTGTATAAAAATTCCGTTTTTTATTATCTGAATGAATTTTTGTTGTTTATTTCTAGGATTAAGTAGAGAAAAGAGTTTATTTTAAGTTTTGCCGTTTATTTTCTTTAATATATGTATTGATAAAAAATTAAAAAAAAAGCATTTAGCGTCTCGTTCCGCTTTGGAAAGATATTCAGGATTTTAGAATATCTATATTTTACAATTTCTATTTGTACTTGAGTTGTAGGTATTAATATATATAATATGAAAACAAAATTTCAATAATTAATAATTTTAATAGACTTTAAATGCACAAAACATCACGGCACTTGAAAAAAAGTATCACGTCATTAATTTATCGCAATTTCAGCGACATTTCTCGTTAGTTCTAGCAGAATTCTACAATCATTTTTAAACAGAGTTTCGGTTACTACTTTTTTAATTTTGGTTTTTTCTCGGATTTTTTACTATAATAAATGCGGAACTATTTTTTTATTTTTATAAGAAACTGGAAGACTACGAAAAGTACTACTAGAATTATCATTAATTTTTTATGTATTAATAAAATGTGTTAACTTCACGGGTACACATAAATTTGAATTGTGTAGTCAACACGCCGTTCTATTAATATAAAAAAAATAATAACAGTTGCAGTAATACTTTTCACAGTTCTACAGAGTTCCTTATTAAAATAAAAAAAAGTTTCACATTTTTTATATTAAAAAATTAAAATTGAAAATATGACGTGTTAACTTTGCAAATCTAGCACGATACTTTCCCTCTAAAGTACAAGAAAAAGAAAAATATTTTCACTTTTGGCTACAATTATCCTCGATCGTTTCTAACAGAATTTTGGGGAAACCCGCGCGCAAGAGAATTGAAATAAGATTCATGAGTCATATTCAGTAAGTAGAACACGCGTAAGTACGTTATTTAATATGCAATACATAGCGTCAGCATAATTTACAAAAAATGATTTTTTTATTACTTTGTACCAGACAAGATGTTCCTTACAGATTTTTGGATATTTTTGAGGTTCCACGAGTACTTTCTGTATAGAGGCTATGTGTTTCGCGAGTTATATCTATATCTATATCCATTCTTGAAATATCAACGTTTCATGAACGTTGCAGGTCACTTCATCAGGATGAAGAGCAGCCTGATACTGATAGATTTTTGAATGCTGAAAGCAATGCTGAGTTAAATTTCATTAGCACGTCATATTTCGAAATAATTGACGTTTAATATGCTAAAAATGGCATTTTTCTTGCAATATTTGACATTTTTTTGTAAAAAGAAATATCTTTAAATTCTGATCAAAAGTCATGGATGTATATATTATTTATTTTTTATAAAATGCATCCTTTTTATTTCAATATTTTATTTTTAGCTATGGTATAGAGGATTTAAATATAGAATTTTCTAAGATAACAAATTTTATGCCTATGAAGTCATACATATTTATAATTTCTAGTTTGTAGTTATTGATGCATAATAAGGTGATTGGGAGGAAGACGCCATACTTAAGCCTTTATTTTTGAATAACTTCTTAATGTTATTGAATTAAGTTACGAAAAAATATTAAATCTTCCCCTATATATATGGATAAGATGCTACCTGCTATGGGAGAAGATGTCACAAACAATTAAATAATGTAATGCAATGTAAATTTACATATTTTACTTATTTACAGTCCATAATCAAGAGTTTAAGTTGTAAAAACACATAAAAATACGATAAAACATAAATTGAGGCAATATGAAAGAGAGTAATTTAGGAAGTAAGTTGGATACATACTTTTATTCGTTTAAACAGCATTTCATTAATTTAAAATATTTCGAATTATATAAAGCATTCAAAATTTTAATTCATAAAATCATTTTAATGATGATTTCAAGTAGGAAAAATTGTTTTGTATTTACTGTCATCTTATCCTCATGTGTAAGAGGAATATTTAATTGCAATTTTTACGCATATAAGAATATTACAAATTATAATCTGTATCAGCCACATGACCGCCAGGAAACACTGATTAAAACCGTATATTATTTGCCCGGTTTTACAGTAAGCACCGAAGTATAAATCTTAGTTACTAGCATACCAAACATTACAAAGAGCATGTTTCATGACTTACCTTTTCATATTTCGTATTATCTTTTTTAAGTGACATTAACACGAATACATTCATCTCTGCCGATAACTGCGCAACTGTTTACCACACGCTTTTGCGCAGCCAGTATGGTCAACGAGCGTTTTATAAAAAACCTATAAACAAAATAGCGTCTTCCCTCTTGTAGCATCTTCCCTTGAATTACCTTATAATTTATTGCGGTAAATGTCGCTAAATATATATACATGAATTTGAGTATATAGAGAAAAGGCCTCTATTATGAGATACCGAGTCCATTTTGGGTAATTTTAGAAATCTATAGACAGAGAATTTAAAATAATAATAGGTCATTTTGAAGAGAATTTAATAAGCTTTAAGATAACGTTATATAAAATTTAATTCAAATTCCATTTTTTTTTGAAAATTAAAGAAATGTAAAAAGTGAGCAAATCGCAAAGTCAAAAAATTGTGCTCCTAATATGAGATGCTCCGAGAAATCCATAAAAAGTGAGTAAAACGCAAAGCCTATCAGTATTGTAATTAAAAAACTTTATTTAATGTTTCTTTCAGTTTAGCGCAGAAACGCCGCTATCTCATATTAGGCACCTATCTCATAATATATAGGGGGCTTTCTTCTATATTTTATATATATGTATAAACATACAGAGTGTCTCATTTTAGTTGTTTACTTTGAATATTTTTAAAGGAACAAAATTTGAAAAATGTTTCAATTATATAGTTTCAGATAAAATTTTAAAAGTTATATGGTTTCAGATAAAGTAATATGATAAAAATTATACCGATAACACGCTTGAAATTATAAGTATGTATAACTTCATGGTCACAGCTAGAAAATTACTTTCTTGGAAAAACTCCATATTTAAAATTATACCTATAACATGACTAAAAATGAAATATTAAATTTTTTTAAATATATTTTATAAGAGATGAATACAACACATTCATGACCTTTAATCAGAATTTCAAGACAATGTTAATCTTTTTTAGAAAAAAATGTTAAAATCATTTTGCAACATTAAATCTTAATTATTTTGGAAACTTAACGTATTGATAAAATTGACTTATGACATCATTTTCAGCATTCAACCATCTATAAGAAAAACCTCGTTTTGTAGTGTTTAAGGCAAAAAATATTTGTATAACTAGTATAACAGAATGCTAATAACACTTAATCGCCGTTTTAATGCATTTTAGCTTCATTCTAACAATGAGTTAAGACGAGCACAAGCAAGATACGATATAAGTCAAGAAGGTACGATAAATGTATACAACCCATATGTTAAATTTATAGTTTAAACAAATTATAAATATATGAAAGTTGTGTTTATAATGTTCTATTTTTTATTAAACAACATTTTCACAGATACTTTTATTTATAGTTATTTACTGATTCTACTTGTTATTACTTTTATTATTATAAACTAAAATTTTTTAAATAATAACAAAAATCTAAATGTTTTCGTACAAGTACTTTAAATTTTTTAAACAACTCACATAAAGTTTTATTGCAATACACTGCTTAATTACAAGATTTAGAACAAATAAATATTTTGTTTATTTACAGGACAACTAATTTTTTACATAGCAACATATCTTTACATAAATTATTTTAAATACTTAAAGTATTTACATTAAAAAATTGAGATTTTTATCACTATTGTGTAATGCAATTCCATACATTTCTATTAGAGCACAGATAAAAAAAATATTACTTCTTATTGAAAATAACTTTTGATCCAGACAGTAAACTTTATTTTTAAATGCGATATAGAATAATACGTAATTTTTTCATAATTTTTTTTTATTTTGAAATAAAAAGTATTCCAGATTTAATTTCAAATTTGTTTCAACGATAATATTATTCATTAAATGTTCAAACAGAAAGAGTTTAAAAGCTTATAAAGCCGTTTTCAGAAACTTAATAAAATAATTTCTTTTTTTTCTAATCTGATTACTTGTGAACATAATACGATGCATATGAGTACGGTGATCATATTTTCTTAGAGAAAATAAAAAGCAAACCTGAAAATTTTAGGTTTTTATTTCTAAATATTTCCAAACTAGTTTGTGACTGTTAGAAGTCTGTGTATTAATTTCTGAAATTTTCCTACATCTGAGATAACCCAAGTAAAAAGCACAAGTCATCATAACATCAAAATAATGTTAAAATAGCTGCAAATTTGATTATTAAAAGTCACTTTCAATCAATTTACGACTTATTTAGGCGTCATTTTTATGATATTGTTGTTCTATTTTGGCTAATATTACTCTTACATAAAACTATATTGGTTATTTCTGTAAAAATTCGTTCATTAGTACATTAGACATTGGAATGTTAATTAGAAAGGAATTTTAGAAAGGGAAATAATATTATTAAAATAAAAGATAAAATTAAATTTTGAAACATAAATAGATCTAAAGGGCGGTTACTTGAAAGGACTGTCCTTTACAATGAAGGACATATGGTCACCGTATGCATAGATTCGAAAGGTAGGGAACATTTTTTCGTACTACTTGGATCCGTTTTCTTTTCTTACCTAAACCTTTCAAGTTTTAAGTCACAGCCTTCTCAACAAAAAAGATGAATACCGCGTCGTTTTCTATAGTGAGATTCCACTGGTCCGACAATCAATCAATCCGAGGAATGCGTCGATGAAAACTGAACACTGATCACAAAATGCTGATCAAACGTAATCAGATCAACGAAGAACGAATGTCATTGTAGAACGTTACGTATAATTGAGGTAATTGGTCGAATCACTGTAAATGATGTTTGATAGACGAGATATGTGTCGATAAAATGACAGATTGTCAATAGACGCGTATAGAGATATGAGTCGTTGTTGTCAAGATTCACCTTGAATTAACACACTCGCAAAAAAAGAAAATATCTTGCTTGCAATTCCCGATAACGATTGTCGAGATAATTTTAAGAATGTTTATAGTTTTCGCGATACTAGAGGAGGATACGCTGGGCGTAGTCGAGACACGGATGGACCATCGGTTGATCTGATCTGCGACGATGCCGGACACGGAGTAGTGACGCCGAAGACGTGTCGGTGACTTTAAAGAGGTACCAGCAGAAGGGATCACTGCGAGGCACCGAGCCGGGTGGAATGCACGAGCGAGGAATGAAGCATCAGAGGATTCTCCGTCGGGCGTCGTTCAGGATTACCTTGTGGTGGGGAAAAACAGTGGAGGACTTTCGACCAACATCGATTAATTCTACTCGATGATTAAGGGTCGGCAGGAGTAATGAGAAAACTCATTTACACCTCATTTGCGGTGCAGATACATATCTTTATTCTACCATATATTGTCTCATAGAAGAAATATTTTTTTTGTCATGAAACTTGTTGTTTTGACTAATGTTTTACGAAGCCTAAAGATCCAGATTTTGCAATTTCGCTCTTAAAAATATTATAATAAATAAAATAATCTGGTGTTCTCACGATGCAGATATAGTCGCGAGGAATCATATTTTGTATCGTACAATAGGTTTGTTTTCTGTGGCTGAACTAGTGTACACTTTTGGAATTTAAAGTAAGATAGATGTAGATACGTTTGATATTTGTCTACAGCGAGAAAGAGAGTTCTAGAACAGTCCAGTGCAGGAACAGAAAACGGACCAAATATTTCACTACAAAACTTTTTTTGTTTTATAAAGCCTACTATAGAATCGGATTTTGATCCTTAACATAATAAATAAGATAATAAATAAAAAAAACATAAATAAAAAAACATAATAAGTTTATCTGCACTTCAGTTACACATATCAACGAAAAAAATTAGCAAAAAGTGATAAAAGGCACGTGTAAGTAAAAATAAGCTTTGCATGCGCATTGAATAAAAATACTTCGTATGCCTTTCATCATTTTTTACAATTATCTACTTGTTTTATCCAAATTTATTTATAATGTCTTTATTTATAAATGACACGTAATAAAAATTAACGTGTCATTTCTCGCTTTTGACGTCACAATTCAATATGGTTGTGATGACTACTCAGGAGCCTTAACGCATGCTTAGCAATTATACGAATTCTCAGTTAACATCGATTAATATTAATCAAAGTTATTCGAAGTGACCCTTAATTCGAGAGCACGAATTTGCGTTTTCACCCCAATTACGTATATGACGCACACAGCACGTGATCAGGGAAAAGAGAGGGGGGGAGAGAACTCGACAGAGAACATCCTAGTCCTCTTAGTCCAGAATGCAGTCGACGATTATCGAATAATTGACCGGAATACCGGATGATGCCGTTGTATACAATTATTTCGCGGATTCTCCACGTTATCTATTCTTCCGCGAGAATCCCCCGGTGAAGGGAAACCCCTGTCGTACTTTCGCAGAATTTCGTATGCGTGAGAAAAGGAATTTTATGCTCTGTAAACTAAAAATAACACTTTTAATTGCACGACAAGGGGCGTGTATTTAATTAAGATACCCGCTTATCAATGTTATTTACTATGCAATGTGTAGAAGATAACCGAATAAAGATTATTTTTGTAACTCGCTCGTATAATTTTTACATAATTTCTGCGTTCGGAAATTATGAAGTAAAAGTTTTATATATTTTATTTTGCACACGGTACACATACTCATGCGTACTTATATTGTTAATTAAAAATAAATTTTAATTGGGGCGTGATTTAAATTAACATGGTAATATGCATGAATAATTAACAGACATTAAGCAAATTGAGTTAAATAGTACATAATATTTTAGTTTTCTTTCTATTTTATCATTTTTTTTTAATTGTTAAAAGTATCGGATAATACTAAAAGATACCGAAAGGAAAGAAAATAATATAAATTGTCGCGTTATCTTAACCGTAAATTATTTTGTTCTTTCGTCCAGAATCGCAAGTGTTTTCAGTTTAATCGGTACACATATTTCCTGCTTATTTCAGTTACTGGCCTCATTGCTTTTCTGTTTCAAATTATTTAGCGTTTAATATTTTTTCTTCTACGTTGTAGCCTTGAAAAATTCGATTACGTCAACGTGTCACTTTTTTTTTCGCTGAAACAGGATATTTCCGTGAAGGAAAAGAATAAATTGAAATATGTCGGGAAGGTATTCATTTCTACTTTATTCTAAAATACATAGAATTAGATAATCACTTTCGAGAGTTAAGAATCAGTTTTAAAAACCTTGGCTTTTTTATATTCAGCTGTTCAATTAAATTAAAAGTAAGTAAAGATATACAAAATCAATTATATTAAAATTCGGCCAAAGACGAGCGAATAAAATAAGATGTTAAAAATATAATAATATAATTTAATGTTTAAAATGCATTAAAATTAAGTGAAACTAGTTCGATTTTACAACCAAGGATGACTTTGTAGTCGAAACTAGTTTCGCTTAATTTTAATGCATTTTAAACATTAAATTATATTATTATATTTTTAACATCTTATTTTATTCGTTCGTCTTTGGCTGAATTTTAATATAATTGATTTTGTATTTCAATAACGAGCAGATTATCATTGTTTATATTTCAAGTAAAGCTATTTTGAAAATTTATAAAACGAATTTTTGTCGCTTTTTCTATTAGTTCATCACTCGTTTCATGCAGATTCATTAGAATTGTCGGAATCTTTGTTGGTTTCTGCGATATTCCCATATGTAGTTTTTTTCTATTCTTTAATGAACATGATTACGTCGAATTTGAATATCTGACGTAATCACATCAGAAAAACAACATCTGCCGATTTATACGACGCAGAACAAGTACATCATCGTCGTACCTGATGTGCTTTTATTTAATGTGTGTAACGAAATAAATTAAACGTTAAAATATAATTGGTTTACACATCTTGCGAAAAAAGATTGTGAATCATTTGCAACAGATCTTGATGAAAGGCGACCGAACGGCAATTCAATCGTCATTACTTTTGCACTGTCTATAAATGTTCGCGACAAAAAAAGAACACCGAAAAAAATATCAACGCCGTATGCATTCTCGATATTATTTAAATTATAACTGACGATGACTAAGAAGCTGTGACCATCTGTAGAATTCATAAAGAAAAATTCGCTTTTGTGCAATGCGCTTTGTTACACTTTTTTGTTACGAAATCTAAAGAGTATGAGTCATTTCTGTTATTCTTTTATTTTAGTTAAGTTAATTTTTTATTTTGAAATAAACAGATATTTCATGTGAACTATCCTCTTTTTACAGTTCTTTATATAATAGTTTTGCGAAAAAATGCATTTGATCTCAAATCTAAATGTTTAAAATGAAAATAAGAATTTCTTTGAAAAAACGTATGTTTAAAAAATTATATTACAGTTCCTTTTTACACTACGTTAAAAAATTTTATTTTCTGAGGGAGAGCATTGAATGTTCAAGTTTTTTTTGTTGAAGTTTTCCTTGAAGTGCTTTGATTTTGCTTGATTGTTAATTCAATCTTATATCAATATATTTCCGTAAGAAAGGCACTATTAATGGGAATATGATGTGTGTAGAACTGATAAAAAATTTCATCAGTTGTCTTCAATATTTTTAAGAACTTCCGTTGCACTTTGTGACGAACACGAAATTCTGTTTTAGGTACTTATTGTTAACTTTCACCTGTAACGTTGCGGAAACAGAGTTGCGCGAATTTGCGAAATCGTGTTGTCCGTTCGATGGAATTGCGAAAATCACGAAATTGCAAAAGTTCAATGTCAGTAAACTATTCGTTATTTTATCGCGCTATTTCGATCTCATATTATTACGCAAAGTCGATAATTTTGATCGCTTGTTAAGTAATACGCTTGTTTAATTGATCGATATTATGTGTTTTTATGTTATCTGCAGCTATGGTGGCCAGATAGCCAGAGATAAAATGTTTCTTTTTAAATGTTAATCACGCGTTAATATGAAAAACAAAAATCCGCGAACCTATTTTTCTTGCCCAAGTCTCGATATCAGAATTATCTCGACTTGAAAATCGTATAACCTTGTTTTTAGCATATAATTAGATTTCTAATCGAGGCTATTAAATTTTCCTTGTTGCTAGCCGGAACTATTTCGATGTTTGACTACAAACTTGAAATCTAATTGCATAATATCATAATAAGATCCCCGTCTAAAATAAAATTTCTTTTCAGCTTATAAAAGCTTTTGAAGGAATTTATGGCATTCGTTTGATCAGTACCTATTCGAATTGTAAGGAAAAAAGTTAAATAAAAAGTAATGAAAAACGTGAGAAAATAAAATTATCCTGTTTGATGAAAACAAATCGTCAGTGGATTACCGTTGATTATGATTACATTATTAAATTCGTGCATACTAAATTGTATAAAGTACGATTCATTTATAAAATTGAGATAATGATGAATAGTTTTTTTACGAACATGGATATGTATTTTGGATTAAATAAAGTAATTTTACATTAAATACAAAGAAATGCCTTAAATCACATGCAGAAAATGTATTGAGGATTGAAAGTTACGATAATTGTACTGATAAATAAAGAAGGTAAAGATATTATCAACTACGCAATGGAGATTTCTTGGAACCTTAGACAGTGTCATCTCCTTGTCAATCATATTCTCCTGATACTTTGTCTATTTTTGAGACTCTTTAGTTTTCGTGACTCGAACTTTGTAATTTCGAAAACAAATAAGTTCGAGATATTTTAATTGAATAATATAATTGAAAGAGCAAAAAAAAGGAGGACAACTCTTATTCATGACCAATCGCAATATTCAGGAATGAAGTTTAAAAATATCGAAAATAAAATTTATGCAATAAATCATCTTATTACGTGTTTTATCTCTTCAATTGGCAGGTGTCTAAAATGGTAAGTAATACAGGAAGAACAGAAGCGCTTATTACACGAGCTCGGTGTTGCTCGATTGCCGGTAACGGTATTTGTTCGCCTCTTTATTGCGTATGCACTCCAGAGATCTGCATTTACGACTTTCTCGTTATTATTTACTGCGTCTTTGAACTACCGGATGTTTGTTTCAAACACGTCTCTTTCTGATCCAATTTTTCTTGACGAAGATGTTGATTAATATCAATGCAATCTATTTACGCAGTGAATAAATCACTATCAAACGTCAAGGAAAAGAACCGACTTATATTGTCTTGTATACGTTTCCAACGTTACATATAGACAAAGTAATGATAAAATCATATATTGTGTTCAATGTATAACTATATATAATTATTATATAATTACATGCTGTAAGAATGAAATATTGATGATGTCCATATCATTTAAATATACCTATAGTATGTCGATAATTTACCTATTGGCATTAAACTAAACAGAGCGCAAAAATTAAAACGTTAAAAAATATT